ATGCCGACGGGATTGAAGGGTAAATTTTATAGGACAACAATTAGGCCTGCATTGCTGTATGGCGTAGAGTGTTGGGAGGTGAAACAATGTCACATTCAAAAGATGAGTGTGACAGAGATGTGCATGCTGCGTTGGATGTATAAACGTACTAGGAAGGACCACGTGAGAAATGAGACAATTAGACAAAGGGTGGGAGTAGCACCTATTGAAAACAAGATGCGGGAGTCTCGCCTACGGTGGTTTGGTCATGTGCGTAGAAGACCGAGTGATGCACCTGTCAGACGTGTTGAGATGTGTGGAGAAGAGGCAGGGAAGAGAGGGAGAGGAAGACCCAAACCGACGTGGGTTAGGGGAGTCCGAAGTGATATGCTTCTTCTTGGGTTGGATGAGGGTATGACTTTGGAGAGAGCAAAGTGGAGGGCGGGTATTCTTGTAGAAGAGTGATCTCGAATTATTATTTCCCCTCTTCTTTTTTCTTCTTGTTTTTTGTTCTTTTATGCTTATATATAAACATTATCTTTATCCTTTTTATTTTATCATTTTTAGGCATATTCTTCTCGTTTTATATTATCTTTTTTATAATAGTTTTTTTTCTTTATTTTCTTTCTTTTCCTTTTGGTGGTGATATCATGTATCGATTCATGTTAGCCGACCCCAATATCTTTTGGGACTAAGGCTTGGATGTTGTTGTTGTTGTAAACATAATGAACCATATATATTTTATACAGATAAAATAGTTAATGTAAATACACATATGTAAATAAATAATGAGAATATTACCCGAAATAGGACTAAAATGGTTTGAAAATTCCAAAATAGGACTGCCATGTTTTTATTCCCAAAATAGGACTAATTACTGTCATGTTTTGACAGTACCAGATTTCAAACATGACAGTATTTTCCAAATTAAACATGATAGTAAATACTCCTATTTTGGAAATAAAAAACATGGCAGTCCTATTTTGAAATTTTCAAACTGTTTTAGTCATGATATATATATATATATATATATATATATATATATATATATAAAGAGAGAGAGAGAGAGAGAGAGAGAGAGAGAGTAATCTTCCGATCAGGCCTTCCTGACCGGAACCGCCGTCCGGACATCGGCTTTTGGGCCCTTTCCGGAATTTTTTGATGAAATTTTTACGACATGTTCTTCATCACGTCTAGTTTATCCAAAAAACATTTCAACTAAAAATTCAATCAGGAAAGTAGCTAAATGATTTTTGGAAGATCACCGTGCCCAAAATATACTCATTTTTTAAGCCCAAGTTCACTCATTTGTGCGGTGAGGCCGGCGGGTTGACCTTTTTTGGGCAAGTCTACTTGTTTGTCATTATTTCAAAATAGTTAATGAAAATGTGATTACAACATGATTACCAAAAGCTCCCCAAGTAAAAACGATAATCAACTAGAAGCCTATCAAAAACTACTGTGCTTTTAAGATATCATATGTACGTACTCCATATCATCCATAAAACTAGAAATTACACTACTACATTTAAAGGCCTTTTGTAACGCTCAATTTCGTTACTATATGTCTAAAAGTCTGTTACATTCTTCCAAATGTAACAGTTTTGTGTCGTTACATTTGCTGGCGTTGCCTTTTCCCTAATGTAACGCCATGTAACGATTTTTAGAATCAAATGTAACAGTCTTTTCAACAAACAGAAAGTGTTACCACTGACTTAAGTGCAATTGTAACAGTCTTTAACATATACTATCATACAAATGTAACACTTACATGGAACCGAAGCTATATTTAATTGCTATATTATCTTATGTAATATTTTTATATAATAGGCAAATCACCAAAATAAATAAGGTAAATAATGTATCAATTGCCAAGCTTTATTCAAAATAAGAGAATGATACAAACAAAATAGGGGGGGACATGTACCTTACCCCTAAATAAATTAAGTAGTTGCTCTACTTCATGTGGAGCACCCAATAGTCTAAAACTAAAGCACCTCTTACACTTGAGAGTAAACTAGAAATATTAAAAACAAACATTAAAGTTACTAATACTAAAATTGGATTTGGCTAAAGAATAAGCAGCACACATAGTTCGATTCCCTAAGATAAAGCCTGAAAGATGTTACGTTCTTCAATTCCAAGGTGAGCAAGCCTCTGAATGTCTTCAATCTTCGATTAGAGCCTCAGCAGCCATATATATATATATGAGCCTAGCATCAAGTTGGAATCAAGAGAATCAGATTCGGTTTAAAATTGAGTGATTCCGGCGTTAACGATCCATCAAGTAGCCTGAAGAATTAGCATTTGTGTAACAAATAAAAAATGAAATACATAAATTGCAGTTCAAAAAAATTGCAGTCAAACAGATAAAGGATTCGTCAACCTAAGAAGCTAAATAATCATACTTCTGTAACAAACTTGAAATCATCCCAGATTAACAGTGTCCACTTCTTGGTACTTATAAAGAGCAACACTATAGGTAAAGAAAAAGGGTAAGCTAGTCTCTAAAAGGGGTAGCTATTACATACCAAAATAGATAGTTGTTTTTCTTTATCTTTTGCGTGGTCACTTGGACTTGGAAAACATAAGTTTTTTTACCCAAGAGTTGTTCAAATCCATACTAATATCAGTAAGAGCATACATTAAACCAATACAATCAAACAAGATAAAGACACTGGAGAATTGAATAACCATGTAAAACTAACCAAAGAGATCAAGTGTCACTTTTAAATACCAATAGTAAATTCCACAACTCAGTGAGACAAACTATTGAATTTACTCTTTTATAAGATCAAATAAAAGCATATTTAATATAATAAAGGTATATTATATGAGCCTTAATGATAGTTACCCAAATCTCTTGAGATAACTTCATTTGCTTCATCCTAGCACTGTCTACCATAAACCTATCAAAATCAAAGAATCAAATAATCAAACAAATAAACAAAGGACTGAGTTAGATATATATACATAAAGAAGTTACTCCGTAATATATATCAATAAGGCATGTCTACCCATATCTCTAAAATTCACAGTAAGAGGAATGCATCTAATAGTAAACTTGTTAAATTACTTTTACAGTAATAGAAATCAAGGTTATCATGGATATAATTTCAAGTGAGAGGAAGAAACAAGCCTTCAGAGAAGTTGGGATCTTAAGTCTAGCAATTTGTATTTACTTTCCTAGATCTAAATCAGTTTCATAGGAATTCAGTACTACATATTACTTTACATACATACTTTCACACAGATTAAGAATATAAGTTTAAACCAAATCCAATTGTGGATGATTGAGAATGTAATAATATAATATATTATATATAGAAGCAGATAATGATTTGTAATATAATTCTCTTTAAGGCATTTTTACAAATACATTGCATACGTCACCAAACATATATTTTACAAGAAAAAATCTTATGTGTTGTATCAAAATTAAGGAACTATACCAACTAATACCAACCAATGATCTATCAAATGCTTATGTGATTAAGTACTAAAGCAAACAACTAATTTGTCCATACCTCAACCGAACTGTACGAATTGAAGATACTTAATACAGGAACAAGAGAGGATATATACACAAAGACAGGGGCCAAGGGATTTCTTCTCTAAATTGTATGTCTAGTCAGATTGAGGATGAACTTAGTATTAGTATTGATCTGTCCGATCTCCATCGTGAAATATATTGTACAAGACCGAGGTTTGGAACATTCATACTAATTTTGTAAATTCACACACAAACACATAATATTGAACATGCATAAAATTAATAAAATCATTAAAATAAACTAACTGAAATGATAAAAATTTAAAAATATACCTATAGTTAGTAAAGAGGAAGCGACGAATAGGAAGGAGGCAGATGAGAAGGTTGCGAGTTGGTGGAGCAACAGCTCCAGTGAGATGATGGCCGCATATTGTTGCTTTGATTGGGTGGAGCGGCGGCTTGTGGCAAACTAATGCTTTCAGTGGGTGGAGCGGCGGCTTGCGGCACGTTAGTGCATGCTTCCCGTGGAAGGACTAGCGTCTTGCGGCACGTTAATGCTTCCAGTAGGCGGAGCTACGACGGCAATTTGCTGCTTTGACTAGGAGGAGCGGCGGCTGCAGTTTGCTGCTTCGACTAGGAGGAGCTCTTAGGGTTTCCTTTCGTTATACGGAGTACTTTGTATTTGAGAGACATAGTTTGTCTTAGATATTTTTAGGAGGGTTCCAAGCCGAGTAAGTTTTAATTTGGGTGAAACTTAAATGAAGATATAGTGATGCCTTTTTGCCATTTTCTTATATACGGAGTACGTAGTACGAAGTATAACATTAGTGTTACGTTAGTGTTTACCAAATGTAACACCTTTAAACAAAATGTAACGGTTTATAAAATAGTATAGTAGTGTTACATTAAAACAATATATAATGTAACGGTTTTGGGACAAATGCAATAATATATCAAAAACCATTACAATAGGGTATTTTTTTGTAACGTTTTACACAAATGTTACAATTTTAATGTTACGTTAAGCCTTAAAATGTAGTAGTGAAATTACCGTAATTAGTCATTGGGATCCCTTAGACATTTACTGGATTAAATGAGTTCAATTCATACCAAACTTAAATCAATCAGACTAGACTAGATGAGACTCCAATTAAAAACATGGTTAGAGCCTTCAAATATTCAAGATATAAATCGGCAGAAATCTTAAACTAAATAACGGATTGAAAATTACTCTCTTGGACTAAATTAGTACGAAAAACTTTGTCTGGTCTTGCTCCGGCCAAAAATCCGGTCCAATCAATTCTACAGTGGAGGCAAAATCTGAACAACGATAGATGCTGAGAATATTTGAAAGGCTCAAACATTATTGCCAACTCAAATGGAAGATTTCAACTTTTAAAGTTCATTTAATTAATACTACTCCGTATATAAGTAAAGCAGCTAGATTGGAAAAGTCTCCCCTACTCCGACATTTTTCCGTGCCTTTGACTCTTGAAGAGTTGTTCCGGCTTTCCTCACATGCATATAAAACCATACCTTATCTTCAACCTCTTTTCAAAATAAACTATCCCAATTTATTCATAATCTTACAAATTCAACTTCTCCATTTCGTTCAATTTTTCTCCACTTATCAACAGTATACGTCCATATATTCATTCACTCTCTGACTAAAATATTTGTATATATATCTACTCCTAAAGGGTTTTAATTATTGAACAATTATTCATCCATTATTGTCATGGAAGAAGTTGATGTTCCACCCTATTTTCTATGCCCCATATCTCTAGAAATAATGAAGGACCCGGTGACGATCTCCACCGGCATAACCTACGACCGGAAAAACATCGAGAATTGGATATTTTCCGTCAAGAAAACCTCATGTCCGGTCACCCAACAACCCGTCTCCGACAACGAGTTGATCCCAAATGTCACACTCCGGCGAGTCATCCAGTCGTGGTGCACCCTCCACGCCTCCCTCGGAGTCGAGCGGTTCCCGACTCCGAGGCCGCTGGTCAGTAACTCTCATATCTCAAAGCTCCTCCGGGAAGCCTCTTCTTCGCCGGAAACAAGAGTCAAATGTCTTCAAGACCTAAAGTCCATTGCTTCACAAAATGAGGCGAATAAACGTGGCATGGAGAACGCCGGCGTGCCGGAGTTCTTGGCCTCAATCATAAACTCCGGCGAGGATCTCACTCAAACCGAAGATGCCCTTTGTTTGATCAACAACCTAGGATTATCCGAAACAAGTCTGAGGATGATCCTAGGACGTGACACAGTGTTCATTAACGCATTAGTTTCTGCCATGCAACGTGGGACCTACGAAACCCGGTTTTACGCGGTCAACCTTCTTAAGTCAATGCTAGCTTTCGCCGAGCCATTCCAGCTCACGAGCTTAGACGCTCGTTTTTTCCGGGAGCTAGTCCTCGTCTTGAGGGAAAACTTTTCCCAGAAGGCCTCGAAATGCGTGCTGCAGATCTTGACGGCCGTCTGCCACAAAGGGCGGAACCGAATCAGGGTGGCCGAGGCCGGCGCGGCGGCGGTGCTGATCGACCTACTGCTCGACTCGAGTGACAGGAGATGTTGCGAGTCGAGCCTGGTCATACTTGAGCAGCTCTGCCAGTGCGCCGAAGGGCGGGCAGAGCTGCTCAAGCACGCTGCCGGGCTGGCAGTCGTGTCGAAAAAAATCTTGAGGGTTTCGCAGCTGGCGAGCGAGAAGAGCGTGAGAATACTGTATTCTGTGTCTAGGTTTTCCGGCAGCCCGGGAGTGGTTCAAGAGATGTTGCAGCTGGGAGTGGCTGCAAAGCTATGCATGGTTTTGCAGATTGATTGTGGGAGCAAAATTAAGGAGAGAGCTGCAGATATCCTTAAAATGCATGCTAAGGAATGGAAGAACTCTCAGCAGTGTGTTCCCCTGCTGGCTTTGATTTACCCTACCCAATCCCATGGTAGATAATTAGACAGGAGTAAATTAAACCATGGGTAAATGGCTAAGATTTACCGAGCAAAAGTAATATGGAAATTTTATGCGACATTATTTCTATGAGGTTTTGACATGAATATTACTAAAAAAGAGTTAATGACAAAAAAGTGACTTTTCTGTTTTTGTTTCCACATATACGATTAATAAAACCCTACTTCTCTAAACTACCCCTTCGTAAATCAAGATTGCATCCGGATAATTAAATTATTTTATGCCGTCAGTCCGTCCAGTGCAAATGTTGACCAACGCAGTGCCTAACATTGTACTCCGTAATTATTTCAAATATTAATGCCTAACATTGTACTCCGTAATTATTTCAAATATTAATGCTCTTTTCATTTTAATATTATTACTTCGTATATCTCAACATTAAAATTTATCGTTTTCATGACCCAATTTTTACCAGCAGCAAATAAGCAGTTATGATATTGAGGAGTGGATTCCTCGTACGTTTATCCTATATTCCTATTTTCTTGAATATGGAAACGTAAGAGTAAATATTTAAATTATCACACCAACATTTGTGTGAAATTTTTCCAGTTACTACATTTATGTGAAATTATCACACCAATATTTAAATTATCACACGTGATCACCGTCTCAATTACTATTGTTTCAGTGACCACCAACCCAGTTAATATTGTTCCAGTGACTACCATCTCAGTTACTACTGCTCCAGTGACCACCGTCCCAGTAATTAGCGCACCAGTGACAATAGTTCCAGTTATTACCGCTCCAATAACCACCGTCTCAGTTACTACCGCACCGGTGACCACATTTACGTTCCAGTTACTACCGCTCCAAAGACCACCGTCCCAGTTACTACCACTACAATGACAATCATCTCAATTACTACCGCTTCAGTGACCACTGCCCTAATTAATATCGATTCAGTTACTATATTTCAGTGACCATCGGTATAGTGACAAAAATTCATAAATTATTAATGACCAAAATATTAGTGATTAAAAATCCATCACCGATAAATGACTATCGTCGGTCACGATGACTATCGCTGGTCACAATGACCAACTTTATTATCACCATAGTGAATTTCCGACAAGCGACATTGCCACCTATAGTGACCTCCGACTAGTGACATCGCCCGACCAGTGACATCGCCGCCCATAGTAACATGTCAACCAGTGACCAATTATCAATCTTTTTGTCGGTGTGGACGGGCGAGTAGTCTTGATTGTGACCACCACACTTACAGCCAATGAAACGAATGCCACCCGGGTGACCATCTGCATCCCGCCCCGGCCCCTAACTTCCGCAGAATCTCCCTTTCCAGCCCATCCTCTCTCTAGCAGTCCAATAGTCCCCGACCACCGCCTCTCCTGCCACTACACCCCACCCCCAGACCCACCTCATGTCCCACCAGTGCACCCCAGCCTCTCCCCCTGCCCTACCAGTCCACCCCAACCTCTCCCCCTGCTCTACAAGTCCAGTCCAGCCCTTCCCCGTGCCCCACCAGTCCACCCCCTGCCCCACTATCCCACCAAGCCACTCCCAGTAGACTCCACTTGCCCCAGTCCGCCCCAGCCCCCAGCTTCACCCCTAGAACCCAAGTACCCAACATCCATCACTTAGCCTCACCCTCAGACCGCAGACACCGACCCCATACCCTCAGCCCACAACTTCGAATCCTAGGACCCAAGCGCACCACTGGAACCCTAGTCGCGATCTCGCCGCTGACAAACGTACTCATATTAAATAGTGATGCATTTATCTAGAATATTCTATGTAGTTAAAGCTAGAAATGTTCTAGAGAGTTCATGGAAATAATGTTCTAGAGAATTCTCTACTAGAGAATTCTTAAGTAGAGTCTAGAGTTATTAAATTAGAAGTAGAATACTCTAGATTCCTAGCATTTAACAAGGATCTAGAATGATCCTCTAGCACCTATAAATATGATCCATTGTACTCATTTGCAAACCAAGCAAAACCAAGCAACATCAATAAAATTACAAGTTTTCTAGAGACAAGAGCTCTACTCTAAAACACCTCCTCTACACTACACCTCACTAAAATCACTTAACATATTCATACACCAACAACCTCTTCTATGTTCTAACAAGTGGTATAAGAGCCTGTTCGATCACAAGCGGGCGTTATGGCGACATCAAGCTTCTCGGTATCGACTCCGATGTTCAACGGAGAAAGCTACGACTATTGGAGTGTCCGTATGAAGACTTGCCTAGAATCACATGATCTTTGGGATATTGTTGAAGAAGGAATCATCACTCCGGAAAAAGGAAGCGACGACGCATCAACTTCCGAGGTATGTAAGAAACAAAAGCAGCAAATTGCTAGAGCTCTCTATCTTCTTCAACAATCCGTTAGTGATACCATTTTCCCAAGAATAATTCATGCTACTACGGCAAAAGAAGCTTGGGATATTCTTAAGGAGGAATTTCAAGGAAATGAGAAGGTTAGAACTATTAAATTACAAAGTTTAAGAAGAGAGTTCGAAAATTTGAAGATGAGAGATTCTTAAATGGAAAAAGATTATTTCTCTCGGGTTATACATATAGTCAACGAAATGAGAACTCTTGGAGAAAACATAACCGACGAGAAAATAATCCAGAAGGACTTAATCAGTCTCCCTGAAAAATATGATCCAGTAGTTTCGGCTATTGAGGAGTCAAAGGATCTATCAAAAATGTCCATCACTGAATTAATGGGGTCGTTAGAAGCACGTGAGCACAGGCTAAACAGACGACATGAAAGTTCATTAGAGAGTGTCTTTCAGTCTAAGCTCAACATTAAAAGGAATGACTCAAGAAATGGTGGAAACTTTAAATCTCATAAATATGGGAATTATAACAACAAGAAGAGGAAGACAAACTTTCCACCATGCAAAATATGCAAGAAGACTAACCACTTAGAGAAAGATTGCTACCATCGAGGAAAGCCACAATGCAAAAATTGCAAGAGGTTCGGGCATGAAGAAAAAGATTGCAGGGATAGAAGAAATCATCAGGCCAACTATTCCGAAGATTTCAAGGAGAAGGAGTACATGTTCTATGCATGTCACTCGGCAATCGAAGCGAAAGAAGAAGAGTGGTACATCGATAGCGGGTGCAGTAACCACATGACATCCAACGATACCATCTTCCATGAGTTGGATACTTCTATCAAGACAAATGTCAAGATGGGCAATGGCGAATTGGTAGAGGCAAAAGGGAAAGGTACCATTGTCATAGATACAAAGAAAGGTATGCGCTATATTAGAAACGTTCTCCTAGTGCCACACCTTGCACAAAATCTACTAAGTGTTGGCCAAATGATAGAAAGTGGATATGCCCTACACTTTGAGAAAAATTCTTTTATGACAAGAAAAATAACCAAGAAATTGCCGAAGTAAAAATGGGAAATAATAGAAACTTTCCCATTCAATGGCAATATCCACAAAAGGCAATGGTGGCTCAACTGAGTGATACGAGTCTATAGCATCGAAGATTTGGGCACTTCAATCTCAATGCCTTGAGATTACAACATCAAAAGAATATGATGAGAGACATGCCTCTACTGAATGAAAAAGAAGGAGTATGTGAAGGATGTATGGTTGGGAAGCAGCACAGGCAACCATTTCCAACAGAGAAGGCATGGAGAGCCAAACAGATACTAGAGCTTGTCCACACCGATGTCTGCGGTCCAATGCGCACACCTTCAGTTTCCAAGAACAGGTACTTCATACTTTTCATTGATGATTACTCAAGGATGACATGGGTGTATTTCTTCCAAGAAAAATCCGAAGTTTTTAGAATATTCAAGAGATTCAAGAACTTCGTGGAGAAACAGAGTGGTCATCAAATCAAGAAGTTGAGAAGCGACCGAGGTACCGAATACAACTCAAAAGAATTTGACAAGTTCTGTGAAGATGAAGGCATGGAGCATCAACTAACAGTAGCATACACTCCACAACAAAATGGGGTATCCGAAAGGAAGAACCGCACAGTCATGGAGATGGCAAGATCAATGTTAGCTGAAAAAGGAATGCCTAAAATGTTCTTTGCAGAGGCGGTAAATACTACAGTCTATCTTCTAAACCGGTGTCCAACTAAGGCGGTTTTAAACAAAACACCTATTGAGGCATGGTCGGGACAAAAGCCTTCAGCCAAACATTTGAAGGTCTTCGGAAGCATATGCTACATTCATGTTCCCTCTGTTAAAAGGCACAAATTAGAAAAAGACAGAGAAGGGCATCTTCCTCGGTTACAGCTCCAAATCCAAGGGATATCCAATCTATAATCTCGAGACTAAGAAACTAGTGACAAGTAGAGATGTGGAGTTTGATGAGCAAGCCTCTTGGAATTTGGAGACGGAAAGAGTTGAAAGAAAGACAACTACTACCCAACAAGAGGAAATCCCAGAAGAAGAAGATCACGATCTACAGAGCCCCACATCTACTCCAAGATCATCTTCCGAAGCGAATACATCTTGCGAACATGACTCCTCGCCAGAATCTCCACCCCTTCGGGTAAGAACTCTAGCAGACCTATATGAGTCTACTGATATCTATGAAACATGCAACTTTTGTTCCTTGGAGCCACATAGCTACACAGAAGCCTCCAAAGAGAAAGTTTGGATTAAAGCAATGGAGGAGGAGATCAAAATGATAGAAAAGAATGATACTTGGGAAATGGTAGATCTTCCACATAACAAGGAGGTTATTGGAGTCAAATGGGTGTACAAAACGAAGCTGAATCCCGATGGCTCAATTTAGAAGCATAAGGAAAGGCTGGTTGCAAAAGGGTATGCTCAAATACCGGGAGTGGACTACACAGAGACGTTTGCACCAGTTGCTCGGATGGACACCATAAGAACACTCATAGCTCTTACAGCTCAGAAGGAATGGAAAATCTATCAGCTAGACGTCAAGTCAGCCTTTCTAAATAGAGAACTAAAAGGAGAAGTGTATGTGGAGCAACCAGAAGGATTTATCAAAGAAGAAGGAAAGGTTCTTCGTCTAAAGAAAGCGCTTTACGGGCTCAAACAAGCTCCACGAGCTTGGTATAGCAAGATTGATGGATACTTCACCCGTCAAGGGTTCAGGAGGAGTAAGAACGAGGCTACATTATA